GTAATGGTCCAATACCGCCCCCAGCTGTACTCAACTTGGTACTGCACCATAGTTTTTTATATTTAATCTCAATAGTTCAGTGTTTACAATACTAAWATGATTGTATTTTGATGTTTTACTATAATATTGTCTTAATACTGCTCTATTGATGTAATATTATGCATTTTTGTGTCAATAATTGTATTGACAATGTGGCCTCTTTCTGCACACATACAAACCAACCCCTGGCACCACCTTCTGCCGCAGCTCCATTGGTCTAATGGTCTATGTCATGGACTTTATTGTGGGAGATCAGGGTTCAAAACCCAGCTAATGCAACTTTAACTAAAAATCTCTTCAAACTTCATATTGTCACACAATTACCTTAATTAAAAACACCTGCTGACGTGACAGGCACAAGCTGGTATAGACAACACATTTGAACTTGGTCAAAGTTCCTTCTGCAAGTCCAATGCTGCAGGCAAAGCCATGCTGCAATGACATGCTACATGGCAATGCACACTTGTTTTTACATCGTAAAAACCCATGTCTAGTTATCTTTGTGTTTCTGTTCTGGGAGGGGAGATGGTTGGTTGAGCACCATCTGTTTGATCATGATAGTGATATTGACGCTGCGCAGCCAGGAATAACTGAAGTAGGGAGTCAAATCAGAGGTCTGGTTATTACTATATCAAAAAAGACCCAAGTGTGTTTGTGCGTATATGTAATATATAATAATATATAATATTATAATTTATATGTAATATACTGTATAATTTGTGTGTTTGTGTAATATCAGTAAATATCGGTTAACGGCCATAATAGCAATAATTATATTTGATATCGAAATCGGCTGAAATTTTCACATCAGTGCATCCCTAAAATAAAGTACACAAAAACAACTAATAAATATCTGTCATTGCTTTTTAAAAAAAAAAACTACTGAAACTGGGCTTAACAAAATATTTTTTCACAAACATTTAAGTCCATCATTGTAATATTTTGATTTCTTTAACAATCTCTGAGAGTCTGGCACCCATCCACAAGTACAGAGCTGACTTCTGAACCGGTTCACTGGAAAAAAATAATAAATAAAAACCTTTAATAATAGATTATAAAAAAGCATGGCTTTGGTTAAAATGAAAAATAGCAAGTATTCACATTTTTCACTGTTGGATCATAAAAAGGTTCTAAGTAGAGCAGTGAAATGCAAAAATAAGAAATGGAAGTGAGACAAAAAAAAGTCATCTGAGTAAGCATTTTATTGCAAACAACCATTAAGCTGAAATAAGCTGTTCATCAACTGATCAAAAGTGTTATGCTGTGATCACACTGAACACGTTTTGAGCATCAGGTTTACAAGCAAAGTCTATGGTGGATGTGTGTCATGTTGCATCATGAAATACTGAAGCGCGGTGCGTTTTAAAGCTTTTTGAGCGTTTCACGTGCGTCCAAAGCCACAGAAGTTCAGAAAATTGGAACTTTTGCGGCTCAAAGCGGCACGAACTGGTGTCCATTTTTGATTTTTGTAAACTTCCCTTGCCGTCAACCCCAAATGAGTCAGTGACATTAGTTCAACATCAAAGATCTGGAGCTAAGTGTGGAAGCTACCCTCATATTGTCAAAAGTTTCTTGATTAATGTTCTATTAGAATATATACAGACCGCTACAGAAGATCTTTCCTGCCCACAGCCATCAGCATCTACAATAAGTTTGTAGTTAAATGAGTTACAACAACACATAATTTCCCTCTGGGATCAATTAAGTATTTTTGAATTGAATTTGAATTGAACATTAGAGCACAGGACTTTGTTTACTTGTTTTTCCATGTGACTTCTGGTTCTATCTCTGTTCTCTATCTCCATTCTTTCCTCAGATGGAGTCTCCTTTCTCCACCTCTGCACCTCCTCCTCTTCACCTCCTGGGTCCTCTCATCAGCAGCAGCGACATCTCTTCTTCCTGTGAACAGATCATGGTTCGAACGCGCTCCATTGCAGTGAACACAGCAGAGGCTGCCCTGGCTACTGAGCCAGAATGTCTCGGACCTTGTGAACCTGGCACGAGTGTCAACCTGGAAGGAATTGTGTGGCAGGAGACTGATGATGGTATTTAGTTTGATTACCTACTCCTTCTGCAGCTTTAGATAGAAACAAGCAAATATAGAAAACACGACTCTATCAGAAGTGGTGTGTTGTGATTTTTGGTAGCAGAAATCATGTGACATGGACAAAATCTGTTAAAACCTTAAAGATGGTAAGAATGAGAGATTATATTTATGAGCCTGGTTCTTCCGGTGGTTTCTTCCTGTTAAAATAGAGTTGTTTCTTTCCACTGTCGCCTCTGTACTGCTCAGGATGGAAGGCATCTTGAAGTGAGGATTCATCACAATCTACTGGCTTCCTTAAAATGATAACTTTTACTAATTGATGTTTAACATGTGTGAATTAGGGTTGGGCATGATCGTATCATCTGCAGTTAATCATCAGATAAACATTAATCGATTAGTTTTTAGCACTTGACGATTAATACGATTAATGCCACCAGGCAGACTGACTGGATAATTCCCCGGTCAGTCCGCTCGGTGCTCCTCTCTGCTTCAAATATGATGAACATTTAAACAAAAGTTCTGTAATTTATTCATCAACACAATTTAAAATCTGAAGTATAGCCTGAAGTCTGTGGTTTTGACACAGTTTGAAACAGATTTTTACGAAGAGCAAATCTTTCCCACTAAATTGGTCGTGTGACTAAGGGTGTCCAGGGACTCCAAGGGATTAATTGTCATATTAATCGTTATCGGCTAAATACCACAATTAATCGTGATTACGGTAATTTTTTTGCCAATATCGCCCAACCCTAGTGTGAATGTTTTTACAAAATATTTTTGGATGGCTTTGATGTGGACACATGTAAAACACTCTGAACACATTTTGTAAATTATTATTGTTTGTGTAACTGGGACTGGTGCCAGTTTTAATGAACCTTAAAGAGCCGTAGCATTAGTTTGTAAACGAATATCACCCAAACCTTCAGTTTTGACTATTGCTCAGAGTTCAACCGTCTGTGTTCCTTTCTGTAGGGATGCTGGTTGTGAACGTCACCTGGAGAAACAAAACGTATGTTGGGACCCTTCTGGACTGCACGAGGCATGACTGGGCCCCACCCAGGTACACAAACACATCAGTGATTAGATTAGTGAGCGACCAACTAGGGCTGTGTATTTGGTGATACGATACATATCATGATAGAGGGTCACGATACAATACATCACAATATATGATACGGTATATTACGATATATTGCAATACTGTAAGCAAGGAGATATATTGCAATTTTTTTTGTCCAAAAACTCATTCTGACTAATAAGTAACAGTAACCTTACCTCAGCTTAGAAGGCAGAGGGTGTCAGTCTTTTCCGTTCAGATTCAGCTATCGGAGCATGAAGCTAATGTTTACTCACAATGCTAATGTTACCCTTACTCTCTGGCTCTCAAGAGGTGGAGGAGCCAAATGGCTGGCTCACTGCTGCCAACTAGCGGTCAGAGGCTGAACTACAACATAAAAATCAACCCTTGGCAGGAAAGTTGACGTTTTAAACCTTAATTAAAAATCGATACAGGGCTTTAGAGAATCGATACAGTATCGGGAAATGACATATCACAATATTTCAGTGTACCGATATTTTCTTACACCCCTACGACCAACATCTCTAAAAGATCTAATTTTACTGAGGTAGCATATTTATGCCAGGCTAGCTAAAAAAAAAACTAACATTAGATTTGCTTTTAGTAAAAATTATGATCTCAATTCCTCCTGAAACAAATCAGAATTGTACAGTCTTAGAGGCAGTCATAAACAAAGGAACATAAAGATACATGCTGCCTCTCATCTCTAAAGTGTTTCTTTTGTAAATGTTTGGTTATTGTTTTCTCTGTGCTCTCAGGTTCTGTGACTCTCCCACCAGCGACATGGAGGTGCGAAGCGGTCGTGGTCGAGGGAAGAGGATGCGTCCTGGAATGAACATGCCACCGAATGACAACAGCAACTCCTCCGACAACAAGAGCAGCAGCAAGACACGTGGAGCTGCTGCTGCGAGCAGCAAAGGGAGACGAGGGAGTCAGACTATAAGCTGCGCTGAAGATACCAAGGCCAGTCCGTTCTCCACCAAGAGGAAGACCAAACCTGTGTCCGATCTAGAACCTACCTCCAGCTCTGAGGACTTCAGAACTTCAAAACGCATGCGAGCCAACTCGGTGGGCATTGGGACCCCGCTCCTTTTAGGCAAAACCGACCCCCTTCCCTCTCCACAGCTTGAGCGGACCTGCACCTCCCCTGTACTGATTGACTGCCCCCACCCTAACTGCAACAAGAAATACAAACACATAAACGGACTGAAGTACCACCAGGCTCGAGCTCATAACGATGAAGATGTCCGGCTGGAGCAGGACGGAGACAGTGAATATGGGGACGACCCTATGCTCCATTCAGACCCGGGGTCCTGTAACGGTGCTGCCTTCTCCCCCGCTCGCTCCAATACTCCAAAGGTACGAGGCTTTGATGCCCCTTCTCCTTCATCAGGAAAGCACACACCCAAGGGGAAGAAGAAGCCAGGGGAGGCGGAGCCTGAGTCGACAGACGGGGGTGAGGAGGGGACATGTTTGACTGATGAGGCCAGCAATGATGGAGTGGATGACAGAAAAGACAGAAGACTGTCAGCCAACAGCAAAGCTGATAAATTATCACAGAGAGGTGTGAAGCTAGGCCGCCCAGTTGCCCCCGGAGTCCCCCCTTTGTATTCCTCTCAGGAATCTTCCCCAGCTATGGGCCCAGTTGTACAGTCATTACCCAGCAGCCCCCAGCTGAAAAACAGCCAGCCTAAACCTCCATCACTCACTGACATGACCTCCAGCCCCAACCTGGCCAAGGACAAGAAAAAAAAAGACAAGAAGAAAAAAGAGGGCTGGAAGGAGGGGGATAGTCCAAAGGCGATAGGTAAGGCTGGGAGGGCGGAGGAGGGTCCGTACTCAGAGCCATCAGACGCTGCGCTCAACGGCTGCACCGAGGCTCACCAGAGCCGTTTGGCAAGCATTAAAGCCGAGGCCGACAAAGTCTACAGCTTCTGTGACAACACGCCCAGCCCTTCCATAGGTGTGGCCAGCAGGATAGAGGCCGGCGTCCCACCCCCGCTGCACCTCAACCAGAACGGAGCCGACAACACGTCGGTGAAGACGAGCAGCCCCGCCTACTCTGACATCTCTGATGCAGGGGACGATGGAGAGGGGAAGGCTGAGGGGGTGAAGGTCAAACCGGAGCCTGATCAGAGACCTTGTGATGGCACAAAGAAGGCCCTGTTTCCCCCGCAAACCAAGGAGTCACCGTACTACCCAAACTATGACACTTACTACTCCCCAAGCTACCCCAACCCCGGCCCAGGAGCAGCACCCGCAGCCCCACCTCACATGGAGGAGGCACAGGTGAAGGTGAAGGAGGAAGAGGAGCTGGAAGTGGCAGCGGAGGACAAACTAAATGTGGAGCCTCAGGAGGAAAGGGAGGCAGAAATGAGCTCTCAGCAGCCATCAGTCATCCAGCCATGCTCCAACATGTACGCCCAGCCTTTGTATTACAATCAGTACTACGTGTCCCCTTACCCCTACTCCGCTGATCCGGTCTACCACACCCACATGCTGGCCTCTAACCCCGCGTACCGTCAGCAGTGTGAAGAGAGGCAGCGGCAGGCCGAGAAGAAGGCCGCGGCAAAAGACAGAGAGGCTTCCAGCAAAGACGAGTGGAAGCAGAAGGCCTTGGTACCCCCCACCCTCTCCAGCAACTCGAGCCTCACAGACATGGGCGCAAAGGCGACAACAGCCAAGCCCAAAGATCCTACAGCTGCTTCAGAACAAGTCAAGTCTGTCATTATGGCAAAGGCAGAAGAGCTCAAAGCCCCCGCTAGCCAAGCTGAGGGTATGAAGATCAAGCTGAGTGAAGCAGGGCATCATGGGAAAGAGGAGGTCAAGTCAGAGGTGGAGATGGGCAGACCAGGAGGTGTAGATCAAGCCATGCGCTACAGACAGGTAAACACATTTCGTTTTACCATTTCTAAGATGTTGCTTCATCTAACGGTAATTCTGTGAAGTGAAGTGGTAATGTACACGTACAGACATTTATTCTTATTACGTCATGGTCTTCATTGGGGGGGGGGGGGTATGGTGGAGTTTCAGGCGATTAAACACATTTGTAGTGTTAGCTGCTTCATGTCACCTTCCACCATTGGACTCACATGTACATTGAAGAGAAAAACACACAAAAATACATCATCATCATCATGCCGCACTAATTGCAAATTGGTAAATATTCATTGGTGACAGTTCTGCTAATTACTATTTGCACACGTTAGGATTTTGGCCAATCCTATTCAACAGGTAAAAATTTACAGTTTAAGGAATCCTGCTGCATTTTTCTGTTCCTTCTTCTTTGTACCAAAACTCCAAACATGAGGTAATTTTCCTCCATCGACTTATAAATCCAAACATTTTTTGACATGTTTTGTTTTTGTTTGTTTTGTTACCTTTTATTTTTAAAAACCGGGACAATATACAGTATGCATTAGTCATAGAAGGAATGATGCACTGTATCAGGTTATAGCTTAGGGTGCTAGTTTCCACCTGTAGTCCCTGACCCAGCCCACAAAATAGAAAGAAAGAAAAAGAAAGAAAGACATAATAATAATAATAAAAAAATAAAATAAAATTTCAGACTCCCGAGGCTGCAGCTGCTTTAGTGGAAACAAAGCTGCAGCCTTTCTTCACTTCTACATCACATACTATGAAGCCTGCTTTTCCAACACGTTATTCAGACTTATAGTTCTAATTGATCAAAGGGTTTTTGTAAAATACATGCATGATGGGGTCCATGAGACCGAAATTACATTTTTTCTTTTCTTCTAGGAGGCGGACTCCCGCTTGTGGCCCTATATCTACCCCAGCAAATGTTCGGAGGCTGTTCGACCGCAGGAAGAGGAGCAGTGGAAGGACGAGCGAGAGCGAGACCAGAGAGGGAAGGAGGAGAGGCCACGGCCGAAGGAGGCGCTGCACAAAGACGAGACGAAAGAGGGGGCGGAGGGCCGGGCGCAGCAGCTCATGGAGGAGCACCAAGGTGGAGGGAAGGAGGCCCGCCTCCCCCACATGCAGTTCCCCTCCCCTCTGGCTCAGCACCAGGGCTACATGCCCTACATGCAAGCACCTTATGCCTACGGCCAGGCCTACAATCCCAGCCACCCTGGCTACAGGGGCATGCCCTCAGTGATGATGCAGAACTACCCAGGTAAGATTCAGGCACAGGCCACACGTTTAATGATACTGAGTTCAGCTTTTCTTCTTATTCAAACATGCATCAAATATGTTGCATCACTGAAGGTTTCATCACCTCCAGTCCTGCAGCAGCTCTGAGAGTTTGTAGCATAGTGAGGCCATGTTTTCCTGCAGGAGCAGTGGTGCACACTCAGCCTGCTGATGGCTCAGAGGCACGTCTGTGTTGACAGTCTGAATGTCTTGTCCTCAGCCTCCTACCTGCCCGTCGGTTACTCTTTTCCCTCGTATGGAGGGAAGGTGGCAGCGAGGGAAGACGGAGAGAAACCCTCCAGGTCCAGTCCAACCGTGAAGCCGCCCAGCGAGGCCAAAGCTCTGGAGCTGCTGCAGCAGCACGCCAGCCAGTACAAAAGCAAATCCCCGTGTATTCCAGACAAGAGCTCCCATGAGCGTGAGCCAGACTGGGACAGGGACTGGGACAGAGAAGGCACTCGTCCACGGCCCTCTTCACAGCGCATGTTGCCTTCACATCACCTGGGATACCCTCTGTTAGGACAGTACGACATGTCCTACACCTCAGGTGAGCTCCGGATTATGGTTCGCCATGAGTGGCTCCAAGTTCTAACTTGCAGCTTTCAGTTCCTAAGAAGTCGAGCATTGTCCAAAAGTCTTCAGCCCCTTGGCTGCCATTCTTTAAAAAAACAAACTGCATATATTTTCATTTTATAAAATAATCAGACAAAAAGGATGTTCGGATTAAAGAAGAATCAGATGTAAAACCCAGCTATTGTGCTTTATGATCAGATGGTCAAACCTTGTTAATGACCATCTGTAATCTCACATGATCCATAATAGCTTCCATAATATGTGACTCTCAGCTACTACCACACAAAGTTTTAACTCCTTGCCTGCAAAACTGAGTTTTAGTCATCTTTGTGTCGGCTGCGGCAGCCATCTGAGCAAACAGACGAGTAAACAGATGAGGAAACAGCTGGACATGTTAATTCAGTGATTACTGTCTGAGAGTTTTTTTAAAATCCATCCACTGGTCCATCAGATATTTTGCTAACAGACAAACTATAATCACCTTCTATAATGAACTATAGTGACCTGTGCACATACACTGAAGCCCTTCAGTATAATCAATCCACAAAGGTGTATTATTTATCAAATTACATGAATTGTTATGACTTTTCCTCTAGGAGTTTTGAGGCATGGAAGAGTCTAATTTAATTTCAGACAACCAGCCAAGAAAAAAAAAGACCTAGATTAAAGTTCTCCGCCGCAACGGACGTCCATCATTCTAAAAATGAAAAGGAGAAAAAACTTCTTAAAACCTTTCAGGGACGGTTCTTTCAGAGTTTCCTGGACTGTTTTCCACCGAGGACTATGTCTTTCATTATATTTCTGAAAGTACCTTGCAGCATTTCCACAATAACACCGTGTTCACACTAGGGTTGCATGATAACTTATTTTAAGAACCGATACCGATAACTTTCTCCTTCTAATGGCTAATAAACAATAATGACCAATAACCGATAACATGCCAGGAGATAAGACTAGTCAAAAATGGGTGAGATCATAACATAAATAAACAACACCAAAACCAAGTGACACTGTAAATTATAACATTTGAAATAAACTCTTAGCAAACAAACATTTCTTAAAATATATCAAACAAAACAATTTCTCAAATGGCCATTTTTTTAAATAAGGCACATTATTATAAAAAAAGACCTCTAACACTGATCTCAGATTTAAACAAAAGAGAAAAAGTCATTCCACAAGTTCAAAACAGATAATGCACTAACACTAGTTAGATTCAAAGTACATTTGTTTTTATTATTATTAATATATGATTTAAAACATTTTTCTACCTGAAACAGCTTCTGAGAGCGTGAATGCATTACGACTGCATCGTACTTACAGGAAGACACACAGAGTAAACCGTGTTCAACAGGGAGATAAAAGCTTCGGTCTTTAGTAGGGATGGGTACCGAATTCGATACTTTTTGATGTACAGACCGAATTCTGTCGGTACTACAGAGTATCTATTTACGTAACATCAAACAGTACCATGTTTCGGTACATAAACGCATCATTGCGACCGGTTTGGTGTAAGAGTGGTGAGTTTTCCATGCTTGTCCTGAACGCAGCATCGTGCAAAAGCGTAATAACGTCAGCAGCAGCAGCCGCTGCTTCAGACAGTAAACAGAGGCAGCAGAGCTCGGTCTGAACTTGGCTTGAAAGCCTCGCAGCTCCTGGAGTAAAACTTGTCGAACAGACCGCCTCTGAATCATCTGGTGGATTAATTATCTTGTGAACACAACGTTTGCTTGCTCAAAGTAAATAAAGTACTGCCATTTTCTTTATTTCATCCACCATTAAACAGAGACCAGCAGAGGAAAACAACAGAGGGGCTTCCTGACAGTCTGAACTCGTCTGATCTAAAGAGCACAAGCAGCTAACTTGAAGTGTTGGACAGGTTTTGGATGCTCAAAACGTAGCTTAAATACCTTTTATTTTAACTCAATCCTCTTTTGCTTATTTGATTTAAACTTATTTGCCTTCCATGGACCTCCATCACACAGTTTTCTAGCGGGGAAATAACATCAATAGAAACACGTGGAGCTGGATTTTAATTTGTGCAATAAGACAAAACAGTCTTGTTGTTTTCAAGAGATTTCACTTTAAAGAAATAAGTTAAACAACTGATGTTACAATACAAAGAGTTGAATGTTGTCTTGATATTTGTTCATTTTATATATTGAGAAATATATTAAATTAAAAAAATAAAAGTTTATTATTGAAAAAACAACACACAGAGTACCGAAAATTGGTACCGTTAAGTACCGGTACCGATTTCCAAGTACTGGATATTGGTACCGAATCGATTCAAATGTCAAAGGTACCCATCCCGAGGGTGAACGGCTGCTTGTCAAGCTCCATCTTTTCCATTATTAAAGTGCTTGAGATTTGCGTCCTCTCTGGCAGTTTTATTGGATTTGTCGTTGTTGTTAGAGTGAGAAAGTTGTTTTTTCTGACACAACTTGAACGTTGCTCGGGTCGTGTCGGACGGGAAGCGGTTTGACCAAAACAGATAAAAATAAAGCAGCGCTGGCAAATGTACATATATTATCGGTTCTGTTTGTTATGATATCAGACCAATAAGTATGACGTCATAATTCCCTGACATTGGGCCGATAACTATCGTGCACCCCTAGTTCACACGCACAACAAAACAAAAGAGATCACCTGACGGTCGTTTTCAAAGCTAACCCAACGTGACGATCAGAGACAAGTTAGAAACACCAGCCTGTCTGCTGCCACACTCATCTAAGACGTTGCTTCTGACCTTTAACCTTTTCTTTCAGGACTCTCCTCTTCAGCCATCGTTGCCAGTCAGCAGCCATCTGCCCCGTCCATGTATCCCCCAGCTCGAAGGTGAAACCGGTAATACTCTGAGGCAGTTCAGCTGCTGCACGTTCAGGTCTGAGGCAGCTGTTTCACTGATCTAAACCTGAAGGCTTTATTTTCATTTATTACTAAATGTAATGAGAATAAAAACTATTTAAAGTTGTTTTTAAAGAATTTCAATGAAACGTACCTGGGAATTTTTTTTATTACTCTATCATATTTTGCTGGATGTATAATTTGAAAACATGGTGGGTCATGGACTTTAAGGAAGAAACAACTTTGATAACATTGAAAGAATTTTAGTTTTTATTTAGGCTGGTTTGTTTTAACCAGTGGGTTCAAAGAAATGAACGTTTAGTTCTTCTTCTGAACCAACAATTACTGATTTTAGTTAAATCAACTGATGGAGACAAATCCCTCCATCAGTCCATCTTGACCAGTGTGTCCTCTGACCCCACAGGTACATGTGATTAGCTGGCCTGGGTCCACCTGTCAGAATCATGTGACCTGATCACGACTGGTTCTGGTTCTACATCAGTTCAGCTGTGTTTCTTCATGTTTGGTGTCTCCGCCTGGACGTTCAGCTGCATCTCTACTGGACCGGACCAAAAGGACCTCCGTCCTGAGCGAGGTGGTTCCACTCATCCTGCTGGTCCAGTTGGCTCTGAGTGGATCTGTGCCACGGAGACCGAGGTGCTCTTAGAACACCCGTTGTCTTCAGAGTGTCTTCATGGCAAACACAAGGTTCTCTTTAGGTGTCATTAAAAAACCCCTGAAGTAAGGCTGTCCCACCAAAGCAGTTCCAGGGTTAGACCAGGTCTGGAGCCAGAACGGTTCCAATGCTAGACCAGGACCTGTATTTATCAAACTTCTTAGAATTCCTCTTAAAAATGCTGTTATGATTGGACTTAAGTGTAAAAGAATTATTAGCGGGATTTTTGATAACTTGCTTTTACACTTAAATCTGAGAGTAGGAGCAAATTAGAGAAATTCTCAGCACTTCAGTCTAAAATTCCACTCGAAGAGGTTTGATAAATACGAGCCCAGGTCTAGAGGGTTTTGGTCTGGATCTGACCGGGCTGTGAGCAGGATTCTCTGGTTCCTCTGCAGGTCTGACTCTTTGCTCCATCAGATTTCAAACACGTTGAAGATGTTTTTGGTTAAAATGAGTCAGAAATAAGATCTTTGCGTCGACCTTTAATACTAAACTTATTGCAGCGTGTGTCAAACTTAAGGCCGTGGGCCACGTCTGGTCCTCGTTAACATTTAATCTGGACCTTTATCTGTGACAGATGGAATCTGTTGTCATTTAGTAAAAAACTGGACTTGGTGCTGAGGAATGGATGAGACGGATCAGTTTCAGTGTGAGTTAACGTCACAGCTACAGTCTGCTTTAATTATTCTGTTCAAAGTCAACCATTTAAATGTTTACATTGTTTTAACTGAAGTGGTGGATTCTCTTCACATTTGTTATTATTATAATAAATAAAACGTTTGGTAAGTAGAAAGTAAAGCATAAAAAAATGAATGCTAATGTTTTAAATGTTATCATTTTCATTAATTTCCATTTATTCTAACTTCTACATAAAACGGCACTGAGAAAAGGTCTTTTGTATTTTTCTATTAATAATTTAACACATTACACTTGAAAGCCAATTTATACTTAAAGTTTCTGTTTCTTTAAATATTAAGAGTGGCCCTTTGGTAGGACACCTGGATAGAGACCGGACTTTACAGGACCCATGTAACCCAGGTCCAGGTTTCTGTGTTGGGCCAGTGTAGAGGTGCACTGATACTTGTGTTGGTCCAATACTGTGTGCTGGTACAAGTACTCGAGTGTTGTAATACTACTCACATGCATGGCAGATGTTTTATTGGAGGTGATCCTCTCCTCCAGCAGGGGGCAGTACTTCACCATCAAGTTGTTTTCTGAGCAACAAAAGGCCAAAGTCTGGAGGTATTTCAGGCTCAATGATGTCAAAATAAATTGAACAGAATGTTCTGTTCAGCGGAGGGATGGACTTCAGCTCTATCATCACAAAAACAAGTCGTTTCATAAAACATCTCAGTACTGAGTCTGACATTAAACAGGAAGTGATCCTGAGAGTCTGAACACAAAACGTTAGCTCCTGAATTTTCAAACACACTTTAAAGGAATTGTTAGAAATATTATAACATTTATTAGTACATCATTACTCAGTATTGGCAAGTACTCAGATGTAAGTACTTGTGGTCCGTGTCCAGCTGGTCCTCAGCAGACAGGAGACACCAGGTCTGTTCAGAACCACTTTGAAATGTTCTGATAGTTTCCTTGGTTCTTCATCTCCATGAGCCTGCCCCCAGTGGTTTTGGACTCTGGCCCAGTAAAGACATCAGTGGAACCAGAAAACCTGAACCCTGGCTTCAGTTCAACACTGGAACCAGTCTGGTGGGACAAACCAACCTAAATTGCCTCAGAGCTCCGACAGAACAGAACATCCTGCTGCTTCATCGGTGGTGCTCCGGCTCCTGCTCCCTGTGTAGCTGTAGTACTGTGTGTGTGTGTGCGTGTGTGTGTAAATACTGTACAGAGGAATTATTTTAAAAAAGTTTGTTGGATGATGTAGGATTTCCTGCTTTTCTTTTTGTCTGTTAGCTTTTGTTTTTCTACTGTTGTTGATCTGATATTAAACCTGTAGATGGTGGAACGAGGTTTGTTTTTATTTATTTCTTCCGACCTCTGGACAGAACAGATCAGATCTAAATGTTTAAACTTTTTAAATGGATTTTGTCAACAGTCATCATGCTTTGACTCATCCATGCAGTCTCTCAGAAATAGTTGCAACAGATTGATGCAACTTTCTGGGTTAAACAAGAAAACACTGAATCTGCCAAAACCAAACTGCACATATCTAATATAAGCATAATGTTAAAGCTCACAATGGGAAGTTATTTTAAGTCTCTAGTGTTTCAGGTAGGAAATGGATGAAGAACCTAGTTTGATGTGATTTTAACTGGTGTATATAAAGTATTCAATCCTTTAAATGTTTTATTGCTATTAATATTTTACCAGAGATGGCTCCACATCTGTGATGTTTGACAGCAGGTGAGGGCACAGGTGGAGGTTTATTTCAACAAATGTATGGCAATGAGATTCAAACCTGTAATACTGAAAAATTATCTGCTTTTATTAACTCTTTAAAGTGCCTGTGACATCAGTAAAAAAAACATGAATGCCATTTTTTAAAGAAATTGCAAAAATAAAATAGTTTCACGCTACTAAGACGAACAGTTATTTACATGTGAAATAACAGGAAGTGATGACAAAGTGGTATTTGTGCATGAGAACAGTTGCTAAAATTACTGAAACAGACTCTTAAGACTTGTTTTTTTAAAGATTTTATTTAATCAAGAGTCAGAGTCCAAATACATTTGTTTTAAATAAAGACCAGTTTTCTTTCTTGGAAGAGTTCCCCTTTGATGTCACTTCCTGTTGCACTTTGCCAAAGAAAATATGTGACAAAATGAGTTACGACCGAGTATTAGGGCCACACAAGATTTTTTTTTTAAATTACGAGAATAAAGTCATAATATTACAACATTAAAGTCTTATGGAAATAGTCATAATATTATGAGAATAAAGTAATATCCATCCATTATCTATACCAGTATCTTCCTTTCCGGGTCACTGGTGCCCATATCCAGCAGTCACAGTGCGAGGGGCGGGGTACACCATGGACAGGTCACAAATACGTCACAGGGAGTAAAGTAATATTACAAAATTAAAGCCAAAATATTATGAGAAAAGTCATAATATTCTAAAATTAAAGTCGTACTTCTATACACTACATGAAAAAGCATGCAGTTATAACTGCATTAAAATGAGGAATGTTGAGCAACTCATGTTCTTTAGTGCTTAAAATAAAAAGTTAATCTTTTAGCACATCAGCATCAAATTATCAGTAGCAGGACTTGGAAATTGTGCAAAAGACTATATGGTGAACTGAAGCTGTATTGTAATTAATGGATACATTGACAGATTTAGTGGTCACGTAGCTAATTTGAATGAAAGCATATTAATCTAACAGCGACCTGAGTCATTACGGACTACTTCATAAACACAGACATGGCTGTACACAAAGTATGGGGGAAATGAGGAACAGAAAATGGACACATCATGTAAGATTACGACTTTTCACATAATATTGTGACTTTATTGTAATATTAAAAAAATCTTGTGTGGCCCTAATACTTCATTGTAATAGATACAGTTGTGTTTCTTAAATATAAAGATGTTTTATTAGACTTTTTGTATTTGAAGGATATGCATTTCACAGGCACTTCAACTCTGGATTAGAAAGCAGATTCTCAAACTTACACATGTTAAAGACAATTTACTAAGTTTACTGGTCAAAACAAAAAGAAATTACACAAAGCAAAAACCTTTTGGGATACTACTTACTAGCTGGTGGGAACATGATTATTGACATTTTAAAACAGGCTTGGATAAAATAGTTTACTCTTACGAATTGTTACATTTAGTTTGACCTTAGTGTGCTCCTCATCAATCCTGTCAGAATTAAACAGTTCATTTAAACTGAGGTTGTTCAGAGAGCTACCTGCAACTAGGCCTGTCGTGATAGACAATAAATCAATTAATTGCACGATAATTTTTTTTGAGGTCGGTAAAAAAATGAGGACGATAAGTTTCATTTTCCTGCTTGTTTGTTTACTTCCTCTCTCTCCCTCTCTGTGCTCCGCTGCACACGAGCCTCCTGTTCAGGAGTGGAGGGGTCAGCCTAATCAGGCAATATTATCGCTTATCGCAATAATTTGTGAGACAATTAATCGCCCAGAAAAATTTGTTATCGTGACAGGCCTACCTGCAACAGGAAAGATATTAAATACCCTAACTTACAAACTATTAACTGCCCATCACTAGAATAAAACAGATAAAAATACATTTTTGTTATAGAACAAATATTTTTACACAGATGTATGAATTTTATATAAAGCCAACTTTTATTTTACAAACTAGCACAAGTCTTAAAAACAACTAATGTGACAAAGTTTTATTCTGTTTAATGTGTATCCATCAAAAGGTTAAAAACAAAACCTGTGTATGTATAATGTGTTTAACTCACAGCCAGATGCTGAGAATAGATATAAAACTGATTCTATGAGGATCATGACAGGGCGTAACGGACCAGTCCTCCTCCTCTGAGCTCCCGCAGGCGCTGGCAGTGTCGCAGCATGTTCAGCATCCCCTGAAAACGCTTGTCCACCTTCGTCTGAGTGAATTCACGGATGTCATCCTCCACAATAAAATACCAACCTATGAGACAAGTCACAACAATAAAAACATGCTCATCTGGATCTACGGGTAAGGTTTATATAAAAAAGAGGAAACATTTGATCTTAAATTATCAGGTCAATCAGACCCTTTAAAGGAGACCAATTATGGGTCCTAGAAATTTTTATRGTATGTCTGTGGGCTATCCACACCATGTTCATTCAATTTAATGCACAAAATAATTCTCAGATAATAAATGTCCTGATGCATCTCAGGAATCCAGGTAAAAAATCAAAAAGAAAAAAAATTGTATAGGTTCTGGACAGGTTCTTCTCTAATGAAACGTTTCGTCTCTCTTCCAAGAGACTTCTTCAGTCTGAGAGTTTCAGAATTCAGGCTTTTAAGCACTGCCTCCATGTGACTGATACTCACATCACATGGCTATCGTTGACGCCTAATTAACACTTGTTAACGAGGTGGAGTGATACTGGCAATAGCAGCACTGTAGGAGGGGGACAACTGAAAACGGAGGCCTCCACCTCTGTTTAATGATGGACGGTCTTTCTTCACAAAAATGGCTTCTTTTACTCCTCTCTCAAACCAACGTTCCTCTCCTCTTGAGAGAGGAGTAAAAGAAGCCATTTTTGTGAAGAAAGACCGTCCATCATTAAACAGAGGTGGAGGCCTCCGTTTTCAGTTGTCCCCCTCCTACAGTGCTGCTATTGCCAGTATCACTCCACCCCTGTTAACAAATAGGTGTTAATTAGGTGTCAACACTAGCCATGTGATGTGAGTATCAGTCACATGGAGGCAGTGCTTAAAAGCCTGAATTTTGCCTGAAACTCTCAGACTGAAGAAGTCTCTTGGAGGAGAGACGAAACGTTTCATTAGAGAAGAACCCGTCCAGAAGACCTATACAATTTTTTTCTTTTTACTCAGATAATAAAATTTTCCATTTTCTAGTTCTGCCTGCTCTGACTTCTGTTCAGAAGAGCTGTTTATGTTAATGAGCTCTGTTGGTAACGCCCTCCAAAAATCTGTTGACATTAACTCCGCCCTCCAAAAATCTGTTGACATTAACTCCGCCCTCCAAAAATCTGTTGACATTAACTCCGCCCTCCAAAGCCAGCGTTTTCGTTAGCATGACTAGTGCTAGCAGAAGCTCCGTTGTACAACCATATACAGTATATGGGACCCTGAGTCAGACCCAGAGGCATTTTTCTACAGATAAATAAATAACCGCTGGGGTTTTGTTCTGTCCTAAACGTTACCCTAGCTTCATATTTTTGGAGGATGTTGCTTTTAGTGAGTTTGTTGTTCACCGCGAGAGTCACGGGCGGTCGCAGCTTCTTCTTTTTTTCTCCCCCTCCTGTGTCGGGAGGGCAGCTCAGAGCTCAGTCTGCATGCCTGTTACCAGGGCAGGTAATGGGAGCAGCAGCGGTCAAAATAACTCAGAAATTCGAACAAATAGGCTAAAGCTAAACACAATAGAAGTACATGACAAAACATGTTCAAAACGAATGATAATAAATAATTTAACTGTTTGTGTCGGTGTTGAACCCTGGTCTCCCACTCTCTGGTCTGACACTCTACCCACTGACCCATTGGAAGGACACAATACACGTTTGTTGGAGGGTGCTGTCTTTAGCGCTAACCATGCCATTTGCTCTAAAGTTATCCTTAGTGGCTTTAAGCCTCATATTAACCAGGTTTTTAATGCCTCATTTTAACCAGTTAAAGACATTAACGTCATCTGCAGAACCTTGTCGAATAGATGGAACAGAACCTTCCTTCAGCAGACGTTTTTGTGCAAATCTGGTCATGTACTGTTGGTAGTTTTGAAAGGACTCTTTTGTGAAATGAGCTGTGCAACAACAACCGTGACGGCATTTTATACTGAGGAGGTGGAGCCTCACCAGGGGTTGCTAGGTAAGGGGCTGAACGCAGGTTCCGGTGGGTTGTCGTACAGCTTGTGACATCACAAAATGTAGGAAGTAGAAAACTTGTCATTAATATACATTAAAAATACATTTACTTACAGTAAATATGCACCTGGGTGCATTTTTTTGGTTCTAGGACGATTTTTTTAAGAAGTACATACACAAAGTTGAGTAAAAAAAACATTTAAAAAGTGAATTTTGCATAATAGGCCCCCTTTAAATCTTAGCCGGATAACTTTTTTTTTGCATCCTTACTACCCTTTGTATCTTTGGTACTTTTTATATATTTAGCATCTTTACTGCCTTTTGCATCTTTTGTACCTTTTGTATCTTTGGTTTCCTGGTTTTTGAAGCGCTCCTGCAGCTTGCGTGAATGGTTGTTGAGGGTCTTCAGGGACTGGCTGAGGATTTTGTACTTGGCTGTCAAAGCAGTGTTAAAGCTGTCCACCACAACGTTCAGCTGATCATATGTCACCCGTCCTCTCATGTACCTGAGGAACACACACACACGTTTGTTCTTCTATCCTTATGGGGACTTTGCATTGACTTCCATTCATTTACCGGTCATTTTTTTTAGCCTAACCCGAACCCCTTACCTTAGACCTAACCACCTCAGTACATACCTGACCCTAAGCCTAGCCTAAACTCAATTTACACCTTTGTCCTAAACCTAACCCCTGACCCACTAATGATATTTCCCCCATTGGGGACCAGGCTTTTGTCCACATAATGAACGGTGGGTCCTCATTAGGCTGTGTACTGGGAAAATGGTTCGAAATCACCCTCACCAGGTAGCAAAAATGTGTATACACAAACACACACACACACACGAATCAGAAATGTATTGTTTATGTATTTGTGACTGTCTGTGGATCTTACTGTGCACACAGTTAAGTTTTTGTGCAGTTTTTGTGTGAGAACTTTTGAGACTAATTTATCTCCATATAGACGAGTTTTAAATTGTTAACATGTTGATTCTGTTTTGTTGTAGTTTATGTATTTTGATGTTGATTTAAGTGCTTAGCTTGTAATGATGTACCATCTTCACCACATTTCCCTCAAAGAACTTTCTGTTTGAATAAATATTAATTAAAATAAAAGCATTTAAATTTTCTTTAAATTGGAGGTAATATTTAATGATACTTACTGAGGAATGCTCTCAAATTCCGGCACGGTGACATATTCCATCTCTTTAACCACGGTCCTGCTGGGCCTCTTAACAGTTTCTGCCTGGTTCTGGTTCATCACAGCATCATTTCCACTGAAACATGGAGATAATTCAGTCATTCACAGCTATGCTCAAACAAACAATTTAAGGGTCCTTTCACTGTTTCCACAGTCACTTTCAAGAACTTTCAAGCTGAATTACAGACTTTCCAGGGCAGGTGATGACTGATGCCTACATTCAGACCCACCTGTAATGTCCCTTTTGATCCAACATACCCAGGTACTAACACTCAGTGCACATTATATTTCTGTATCTACCTGTGGTGTCATCATTACTTCATTATAGAAGTAAGCATCAAAGGTTCTGGTACCCCCTCGCTGCCCAGCACCGCCTCAGTACATTCAGTACCACAGCGAGTCAGTCAGAATGTCTCAGTTTAAACTGTTCTGTCATCTTAATATTAAAAATTAAGTAGTCACACAATGCTTCAGGGTTTTATAGAAAGTACCAGGGTGTGCCTCTGAAATACTGAGTCAGCATTCACAGAATTCTTTTACTAATTTTTATTCTGCAGTAATTCGGTTGTTATAACCATTCAAGTCTAAACATTTAGTTCAATCAGGAAATGAGAGATTTAAAAAAATGAACTATTTGATATTTTCTACATAGAAAAAAATTAGGATCTCTTCAACTGATTAAAAAACCATCTGTTTCAGCATACTTACTCATAGCTGACCTGTGCTGCTTTCAGCTTATAGTTAACTTTTGCTACTTTATTCCCACCTGACGGGGCCTTTTCTGTGAGGAATGTGAGCTGGTATGTTGTCCTTCATCTGCTGAACAACCTCCACGTTCACCTGGAAGAACTTCTCAAGGTCCTGAAACACAAATATGCTCCATCGTTACAACAAAACCATGCAGATACAAGAAGAAACACAACTATCTGATCCCTTGGCCCATCAGCATTAAACTTCACATACAGTATTTTTATCATTAAACCTCACATACTGTATTTTTATCATTAAACCTCACATATTGTATTTTTATCATTACATACGATGTATGTAGTATGGCTGAATAAAGCTCAAAAAAGCAGGTTAGACTGTTATACAAAAACTGATGGAATGTTTTATTTTATTTGTCTGTTATTAATCTGATATTTTGATTTGATTGAAAAGTGCATTTTAACCACAAGGCAAAGCCACATTTTTACAACAAATTTTCTTTAATTAGACTTAAGCTTTATGCCTTGGTTCAATTTAAATCTGTAGCAGAGCCCATTATTCTACTTTAGAGCAACAAATAGTTTTAAATGTTATTGTTGATGTTTTACATGTTGCTTCAACATTTCCATACAATGTTCTTTCATCATGATGTCATCTAATTTGTGAAGTGCACCAGTCCTTCCTGCAGCTAGTCTGGAAGGTGGTAGTAGTAGTAATAATAGTAATAATAGTAATAA